CACGGCCCGTGGGCCTACGATCTCTCGCATCCCAACTCTTTATGACTTTGTGTTGACACCGTGCCTAGGTGAGGGGCGGAAGGGGGAAAATATACGAAGCGCACGCCTACTATCATTATAATCCAGCGGAAGTCGCCGTCCCGGCACCACCCGGCTTTGGGGCGCAAGTCAAAACCGACTGTCATATTATTATTGACGTGTTTTCTTATGCTCAACTAGCATTACCGATGTTTGACATCGGCTGCTGATTTTTCCTAACAATAGGCTTCTAATGTGCACTAAAGTCTGCGCGGAATATTTTGATCACTAGAATATTTAAACGATATCGCAACGTCATTTTACACTTCTGGGCAAAGAAAATGCCGCGTTGATGTTCTTGGGCATATACGATGACAGTAAGTGATCTTTGACAGAAACATCTAGGTGTGGTTTAAAGCATAATATACTTCAGATAGTGCGAAGTATAGCCGGCATGGAGAACCTGGTGAAACTGCAAAATCAAGGCATGGTAGATGTTGCATAAAACTGAAAATGAGCATAAAAGACTATTGGAATTTAAAAAAAACCATCTAAAACTACTATACATGACGTTAGTTTGCTTTCAGCTATGTTTGCTCAAGTAAAATGGACCAATGAAAACATAATTAGAAATGAAGCATTTTTGGGAAGCCGGTACTCTTAAACTGAGTATTCGAAATAGCTCGATTCTTGTGTGTTTTTACAATTACTCACCCGGACAATATTTGACCGCAAAACTTCTGTGGGTGTACTTACTCTGCCCAGGTAGTATCTTAAAGTCGCGTAGCTCAGAGAGTAAGAGCTACTTTGAATGGCTGATGGTGACCGGGAAAATCATAATTGAAGTGGATCGCGACTCAAGTGATATTTTTCACGTACGAGCGGCAAATTACTAAATGTTACCATGCCGCGAGATTGCGACCCGCGTTGAGGCGTATCCTACCGTTTGGATGCGGCTGCTCTAGCGCAATTACTTTCCGTAAACGCATCATACTCCCTGGGGAATATTGCGCAAAATGGAAAATTATTCACAGGAAAGCGAATTTTTCCTCATTTCAGACCAACATCTTGGCGTTTAAATATGAGCAGTCTACTCACATGGAAGACACTACTGAACAGGAAAATGAAGCCCAAGAATCTGATGGTTGGCCCATTAGCTATTGTCAGTAAGCCGTGGATCAAATATAGGTCAAAGGATGCAGCCTATTCCAGATATTATTTGGATTAGAAGGTCATAGGTCTAAACTTTGTGTGTGAATGATGAAAAGGCTTCAAAATAACCATTCCTGTTTCGTTCTGTTATGATACTACATCGTAATATGTTTCCTTGATTGTGATTACACTCAGAATCAAATTTCCTGGTAGCCCAAAGGCAACACAGGGTGTCACGGGAGAGTGCTTATGATTTACCGTTTTGCGAGGCCCTCTATGCTTAAGAGTTTAGTTATAAAACCAAACGTAATACTTTATCCTGTCCTACAATCAGTCTAGCTTGATGAATATCCCGTCCTGCTACAACAGGTTCAACACTGTTTTGCGTGATAAGGATGCCTTCTCAAAAACCAAATTTTTCGTTCTGTCGTGGATCTTTTATGGCCGTAGATCCAGATGAAAATTCTTAGGGAATCAATACTTCTCTACAGCAGTAGATATATAACTACGGTGTTTGACTAGAAACGGTTCCGCATGCACGTCACAGGTTTTCTGTATCGAAACATGCACACTGAGTCCCGGACTTTCAGTGCCCTGATTAAAATAAATTTCAAACAATTATGCAACAAACCCCTATTTTCTGCAGAACATAAATCCAAGAATGCATGCTGCTTTTCGTGCTTATACTTATATATTCATTTTAAGAAAACATAGTTATTTTAGGAACATTCTGGTTTCATAATAGTAATTTATTTCTCTTGGTTAGTTTATAGAGATGTTTAATTCAAGGGTTGAAGACGGTGGATTAAATTCGCTAGTTTAGCTTCTAAGACAAACTTTAGGCCAACCATCATCACCACGTTTACTTTTTCGATGAGAAAGAATACGTAGTATTTTTAGACAGCTTTTATCCTTATCGAAATAATCAACCTTTCGGGTACCCAAAGTAAGTGCGCGAGTTTGCTCATCTTTCTTTCGATGGGTTCGGATACATTTTCAACGTATGTAAGCGCTTGGGCAGCAGCGGATCCAGGTATTTACACAGCCACAGCACTGGCTTGCCATTTCACTAGTAATTCGTTTTCGTCCTAAGCATGTTGCTGCAAAGTAGCAAACGCACCAATTTTGAAACAATAATTAAAAGAATCATTCTTTCTGTTCGATAATTTCTTCCTCGGAGCG